ATATATATATATAATATATATATTCATCACAATCACGGTAGTTGATTGTCAATCTACACTTTTCTCTCTCGGTGCAACCCTCACTTTCAATATGCCATTTCCAACAAACACATCAAGGATGCACTATTTGTGATCTACAATCTCCTTGCATAAATGGTAGTACGTCCAAAATAATAAATGGTAAGAAGTACTCCTAGTAAGGACAATGTTACACATTCTGTGCCATATTAATACTATCTCACCCAATCTTATTTTATGAATCAGCTCCCAAACTTGAATTTACAGGCTAATAGGGGATCCTCACCTCACCAATACCAAGGAACACAGAGAATTAGTCACAAAATTACACATAAAGTCACGCATAGACACAAAAGGCACAGAAACATCCACAAAGCCCCGAGAATTTTTCTATTCTCTGCAATCTTCTTGAGTGTTCAAAAATCAATTGTTATCCATCCAAATTTTAAGATAAAAATAAAATCTCTACAATTTTTTTACACACCCTAACAAAAAGCACGCAAAAAAGAGAGAGATAAAGGGATCAAGAATCTCACCTGCACTGCATGATGTAGGAGGATCCTTCTGCAAATCCTTGAGCTCCTTCAAGATGCGTTTGGACGCCATACCTAAACATCACAGAAAAGATTCTTTTTTTAAGAGGTGAAAAACAAAACGCAAAATCCAGAGTCCAGAAATAAGCCCCACAAACAGATCGCTATACCCAAAAACCGATCAACGAAAGAAAACCTAAAAAGAAGGGAAATTGAAAAGATATTAACAGAAGGGGCATGAATCGGCGCTGGAAAAGGGAGAGAGAGAGAGAGGGGGGGGGGGGGGAGGAAGTGACCTGAGTCAAAGGCGAAGGTGAAGAGCGAAGAGCGAAGGGATTTAGAGAGAAAGAAGGTGCGAAAGACGCAGAGAAAGAGAAAGAAAGGGGGTTGAAGAAGGCCAAGGCAGAATCAAAGAGAGAGATTCTAGAAACTTCACACAGAATTGGTATTGGATGATAGCGTGAGATCAACGTCCTTCCGTTTTTTTTTTTTTTTTTATTTCTTTATTTTTTATTATTGTTATTGGCTCTTCAGTCTACACACACTGAAAATATATGTCGTCATAATATGTATTTTTAGGTACAATTAATTATTAATTATATAGTTTCAAAAGAAATGTGTTTTTTTTATTAAAAAAGAAGTATATGATTTTAAATAAATGTTGATATAAAAAGAAATGGAAGTTTTGAAGAAGACAATCTTATGAGAGCCTCCCGCATAGAATAATGTTTGAAATGTGAGTCATACCCTAATTATAAGATAAAGTTAGCGATGATAAATAAACACAACAAACTACTTTTACTATTGATTTTGCATTTGCCCTTTCTTTTGTTTTTTGTTTCGCTGGTTAAACATTGAATTCTGGATTTCTAGACATCCAAATAGTAAGAATAATCTATAGATACTTTTATTTATTTTTTATTAAATTACATTTCAAGTCATATCAATTATTTAAGGGACATCATCTTAAGTGTTTGAGTGTTTTTTTAAATATGTATTTTTTTTATTTCGTCATCTAAGTAGAGCATTTTTTTATTTTATCTATTTTTAAATATAATTGAAAAATAGTACATTCATTAATTACTAATATTTTTTACACATCATTAATCATTAATTTTAATAGTTTGCTATCAGATGATGACATATTTTAATATTTTGTTTTTCTATTAGATGAGGACATTTTTAACCATTAATAATTATCTAAATAAAACTAAATTATTTTGGTTCAATTCATTGAGCCTGACATGTCAAGTAAGTATAAATCATGTTAACTTATAGAATTGCAATGTGTTTAGATTAGAGTTCAACTCTAATAAACACACATTCAATCTAAAGCAACTCCCCCTTACTTCTACGTCTTTTTGCTTTAAAAGGTGTGAAATATTATTTACGTTATATTAAACATGTTTTCAAACATACACTTAAAGGTCAGTTCATAAGTTTATAGGTTGATCAGTTAAACTAATAAGTGAAATAATTTGAAATACATTAATTTGTAAATATGTTATGTATTATAAGATAATTAAATAAAATATGCATAATATTAATAGTCTTTCACTATATTGTGTTTGCTTATGAAGTTATGATTATAAATTTAAAATTAGGTTTAATCGCTATGAGAGCTTTATTGCTCCTATTACACCTTTGATTGCTTGACTCAATGATTCACAACTTTTGTTCCATTTGTTGAAAAAGATAAAGATGCACGCTCACACCACAAAGAATTATGAATTAATTTTTGGTTTATTGTTATTTTATTGATTGTTGTTGTTTCTTATGAATCGAACTAAGAATTATATTGACTCGTTGTTGCTTTATAACATATTGTGAGAATCGTAAACTAAATTAGTAAACTTATTTAATTTTAAATATTGCAATCATGATTATTAATGCATTTTTGCTAGTATGAGTGATGATTTAGATACAATAAAACTCTTCTTAACACAAATAAAGAGCCTATTGTTGCTACTAATCCTTCTATTATTACTATTGGTAATAGAAAAAAAGAGTAGAGTTATTAATGAAAAGATATTAAAAAGATTGAGAAAATTAAGTCTAATATGAAATTATGATGGAAATGTTGGTCTAGTTGATGAATGGATAAATAAAAATACTATATTTCATATCTTAATAATTTAAGATGCCATATTATTAAATATATGTATTGAATCTCTTAAATAACAATGTATTAATGTCATGTTGGATAATAAATTTGGTTTCATGACAATATATAATATAAATTAATTATGATGTAATTTTTTGTAAAAAAATATATTTAATATTTTAAATATATTTTTTAATTAAATTAATTTGACCCAATAACTTGACATAAGTTAGATTGGATTAAAAAAATGATAATTTGAAAAAAAATATTTATATCAAATCAACTTAATTTAAAATAAATATTTAATCCTTATAATTTAGACTCATTGATTTAACCCATATAAACATAAGTACAAATTTTACCATTAATATTAATATTTTGAGGACACATTTTAACCATCTAACCGATCTCTTTTAAGTTATAAACAAATCCCGTTTCCAAAAAGGTATTTTTTTAACACTTTCAAAAATAGTATGACTTTATGTCATAGTAGCGAACACTTTTAACCAGTCCTATTATTGAAGATGAGTTTTTCTAGTATCAAATTGATCCATCGTATTTAATGGATAAAAAGTGACTTAGTATCATACATAAGCCTAAACTAATTGACTGTGGCTATTTCATTATTATTATTTTTCAAACAATACGGAGGTTTGAACTAATCATATTTTGATTCTTTTCCTGTAATTAATATAAAGAGCTTAAACTCGTATTACGTTTTTTAGATGCCTTTCTTGTGATAACATTGATCAGAACATTTTATACGTGAAAGCAACTCTATCATATGGAACAAACCCTATAACCGTATGAAGCAACGTAGAAGGAAATATATTCTATCTAAAATCGGAACTTGCTATAAGATGGAAAACTAAGAACTGGATTATTTGCAGTTGGAAAACCAATTCTACGATGTTCAGTTCAAATTTCATTGCTACAATTTTTTCCTCACATTTTTTTTTTTTGTTTCAATAAAACAAAAGCATATAAATAAACATATAGAACCCTTCAGTATACTTGCTAGAGCAGGAGCATATAGTTTGCAGGTTAATAAATTTAATTAATAAGAGACAGTCTTTACAAATTAAACTATGCATAAACTAATTTTAGTTTATAGAAAAAACTTATTTCATTTTTATTCCATTTTTCTCTCATAAAAGTGAGCTAACAAAAGCTAAGTGAGGAGTGCTGGATGTTGGGTACAGCTGCACCGAAAGGAAAAACTTTCGGT